CTGTTAAAACCAAAAATTTTTTCTGATTTTTTGATCTCGGCGATGGGGGGGGGTTTTGGGAAATTGTTTTTTTTTTTTTTTTTTTTTTTTTCAAATATTTTGTATATGTCACTTATTTTACCGAATGTGCCTGAGGTCCTGAGTTGGCAGAGAAAAAGGGGGAACATTTTAAGAATAACGCGGATGTGAATTTCTTTTTTGTTTTTTTTTTTCTTCTAAGGAGAAATGATTGTATAGTTTAAAAGTCAAGGTTCAAATCATCGCAAGCAAAGCATACCGCTGTATATTCTGCTTTATCTGCTTTTTTTTTTTCTTCCAGGGTGTTCCTCCTCTGTTTGATGATGCAATGGCTATTACTCATACACTTTTTGTAACTTTTTATAAGCCAAAGCGGCGCTAAAAAAGACTGATTCAAGTGATGCAACTAGGCAAGAGTCAAAATGTGTTCTGGCGTTGAATATCATCACAAGTAGCTGTAAGGATCTCTGTGGGCGTTTCCATGTTGTTCTCAAGGGTAGCCATCCGAAATGTCAGGATTTCTCGCAAACAAAAACAGACACAACTATTTTGTTGACATTTCAGCTTTGCATATTTTTATTTTTTATTTTTTATTATAAAATAAACACAATGAAGGGCACACAAGCGTAGATCAAGACGCTTTCACTACAGTAGTTGGACACTATTGCATTTTTTTTATTAGCTTAAGAGTAACACTTAATTATCTTAATATCTGTATTTAAGCGTTAAGACTTCACTGACTATCTTATTGATCGAAGCTCATTTATGTCACAGACTCCTGCCATAAACTTTCTTTCTTTTTATTGTCCGATAAAAGAGGCCTGACGTCAGTCGAGTCCATGAGGTTTATAAAGAACTAACAGCTCAGATGTTCATTTTCTAGCTTGCTAACTCATCACAGAAAAGCTCTAAATGTTAGCACCAGCACTGTGTTGTCGCAATTGAGCTTTATGTCATGGGGTCGGTGGTGGTTTTTGGTATTTTCGATACGGTTTTCTGCCCAGGGCGTCACAGCACAAGGGAAATAGTTGCGTAGTGGTGCTTGTTAGCATGTTCAGTCAATGGAAATGGTTTCTTGAGGCCTTTTTGGATCGCTAGTGACCCGGCACTGGTTGTGTTTCCAAGGACCATCACTAGATCATGGCGGGATTTATTGAGAAACTCTTACGCAACCTGATGAACCAATCGCATTAGACTCCTAATCAGTCCCGTCTGTCCGGCCCGAATGGGACTACAGCTCTTAGGGTTCCAGAGAATGGGCTGAACTGGGCCGTAAGGGCTAATCCAAGAACCGCCACTGACTTGGAAAGTAAAAAAAAAAAGACTGGATGTTGTTTTCTTTGCAGATTGTGTTTGTGCAACTTAAGTTATGAACAGCTGTAATAGAGTTGGCGTTTGTCAGACTAAACAAAAATAACTAAAATTCTGCTTTTGTGGGTTTGTAAAAAAAAAAAAAAAAAATAGATTTGGCAAAAATGACAAAACTGAACCTTGAATGTGAGGTTTTATTTTTTTATTTTTACCACTGAGCAAAGATAATTCAAATATCTTCCTGCTTTAACCAGATTGCTTTTCTGTTACTTTTAAAAATATATATTTTAGTAAATGGAACTTCCTCCTGTGTCTCCTCAGCTGCGGCTTTGTGTAATATTCCCTGTTATATTTCAGGGTGTATTTCTAGCGTTGGGATTCAGCACTCCCACTCT